GATACAACAGCATACACAAAGAGAAAATATAATAAGCAATATCACTCCAACAATTAGGTGATGAATCCATGAACCATCTGGCATCCAGGACCAAAGTGCAGACCACACGTCCAGTCCCTCACCCTCCGATTGTAATGGATTCTCCTTCAAGGTTTGTTCCATATGCTGTATAGTAGCTGTAATGTTTGGAGAATAATCAGAGATATACATGCAACAATGCGTATGAACCACAGTGCAAACTCCCCCTTGCACAGCCAAAATAGTGTCCACCGCATATCTGGTTTGCAGGACAAAGTCAAGAATTTTGCCTTGCTCTTCTTCAAGCAGCTTTAGCGTTTTAATGGTGTCTTTAAACATAGTAACTGTCCAATTGTTTAAACGATGTAAATCTCTATAGTTCATCATGACTCCTAAAGGGGGAATAACTCCCCTTGATATTTGTGTCCAGTAGTCATGGGTCAAAACAGAGTTTACTTCCGTTGCAGAAGGCGCATTGTGGATATGAGCAGTCCCCAAAGATTTTTAAATGACATGAGATGGGATTACTTTCCCAAAGGTGCAGGCCCCTTTCCATCGTGCTGGCTTGCGATCATAGGCCATCCGTCCACACAGCAACCATAGATTTGCTCCCAGGAGATGACCAACTTTATTTGGCTCAACACAGATTAGTTTTGCAAAAGACTCCATTAACATAGCCAAATAAGTAGACGATGGTGCATTATTCCCATTTGCACATTTAGGCAGCTGGTTTTCTTTCGTGGTGGGACAGCATGTGGCAGGAATATATGGACACCCATTTTCATTTATCAAAGATGTGATATCAAAATAAGAAATGTTGTGTACAAAGTAAGTAAGATTTTTTGTTTTCATGTCACCCGAATAAACCCAACTTCCATTACCAATAACAATTCTTTGTTACAAAATGGATATGTTCCCAAGTAAGTCATATTCTCTACCATCTCATTGTGGGTCCAGCAGATACCCGCCACCTCTTGGATCCGGCTTCCAAGGTGTAAGGTATTTATGTTACTTGTAGTCCAACTGCTAGACCATGTCCCTGAACAACCATAGCATTGTCCCTTATACCAGTCGCCTTTGGCCAGAGGTACTGCAACCATTGGAAGCCCTGATGTTTTGTGAGTTGGCATGTGCATACATACCCAACAATCAGTTTTATTATGAAGGTTTGCTAGTTTCCCCATGTCCTGGATCAACGTGTTTCTTTTCCATTCCCCCAAATCCACCCCCTTGCCCCTTTGGCTGATGATAAGGACGCACACAATGAGCAGGAACCCAAACAACTGTCCCCTCATCTTCAATGGCAGCGTATACTTGGCCCCAAGTTATCAGCGGGACAGGTCCTTTCCACGTTGGATCTGGCAGTCTCCTATACCAAACTTTCGGTCTTGGCGCTCCTGCAGAAGGGGAGGAAGCAAAATGACTACTGGCTGCCGTAGCAGCAGGGGATTCTGTCATGTTTAAAAAATTTAAAGTGTATAAAGTAATATTAAGAATGTTTTGTATGTAAGGCAAACCATATCCATCCACTTCCCCCATTTTTTTTTATATGAAGGAGTGCTTTTTTGAGTGTCTGATTAGCTCGTTCCACAATGGCCTGACCAGTGGAATTGTAGGGAATGCCAAATTTATGTATAATTGACCATCGATGACAAAATTCCACAAAGGCGGCACTGATGTAAGCAGGGCCATTATCGGCCATTTTATTTCCATTGGTGGCCCCACATGTGTGAAGGTACGGAGACAATGGTTGACTACATGTTTTGTAGCCTCTCCTCATTGAGGTGTTGCCATAATGAATCCTGAATAGGTATCAACGGTGACATGCAGATGGTGCCATGGTTTGAAAGGAGGGTGTTGTGTGACATCCATCTGCCATAGTTGACAAGCAGTTGTTCCCTGAGGATTTATTCCTTGAGGAAGAGCACTGGATTGGGCACTGCAACTAGGACATTGCTGAATAATAGCTGCAGCTTCTGCAGCAGTGAGACCAAATTGTTTACAAAAAGCTTTGGCATTCTGATGAAAATAGCTATGTGACTCCCACGGAGTAACAGGGGAAAGCGAGAGGCAGGACATGGCCGAGGCGGCCGCGTCGGCCACGTCATTTCCTTCCTGCAGCTCCCCGGGAAGTGGCTGGTGGCTGCGAATATGTGCGATATGCAAAGAATGTGTGCGAGAATGAAGACAGCTTTGCAGGGCTAAAAACAAACTCATAAGATTAGCGTCAACAGATGGGGAAAGGTAAGCAAATTCAATGTTAAGTATCAATTGATAAACGTAAAGAGAATCCACAATTAGATTTAGCGGTTCTTGCACAAATTCCTGTAAGGCCAAAATAGCAGCAGCTAATTCAGCCCTTTGTGCTGATTGCTGAGGAGGGGTAATCTTTGTTTTCCATACCCCTCCCTGTCTCCATGCACAAGTGCTGTAGGTCTTACCACCGTCCGCACAAACGGTCATGCCCTCAATTGGCTGCTTAGCAATAACTGAATTAAAATTTACAGATACGTTTCGAAGCAACTGGAAACGGGGGTCACTGGGGGTATGGCAAGAAATCTTCCCTGGCCAATTTTCAAGAGCAATTTGCAATTCAATGTGTTAGTATTTGGGGATAAACCCCTGAGCTGAGTGCACAGCAGCAGTCAAGCC